CAAGTGCACACTGGGAACAGGCTCCCCCTGTTCCTCTGCCTCGCTGATGTCAGCTTCTGGCGGCTCCGGAGTCAGCATATAACTTTCAGATGGCCCTTGCCCCATCGCAGATCCCTCGTCCGAGCCCTCCTCAGACTCCTGGACTGGCCCATGTTCCTCCCCACTGTCCGACTCTGCTGCCAGCTCCGCAGGCCACCAGCAGAGCACAACGGACCTGGATTTACGTCTCGGCTTGTCTTCACCTAGGAGGTGGCAAGGGGTATGACCCCACCAACCGAGAGGATGCTGCAATCTTTGTAGAGTGGCTGCACTGTTACTCTGTTCCCGGCATGAAATCCCTGCGTGATGCTAACGGCAGGACCATCTGGTTCCAGGTAAGGGATACTGTCATGACCCTGTTGGAATCTGATTCTGAGTATAGCAAATCTGGCCTAACTCTATGCCAATTATTATTTTTGAATTATTTTTCTTCCATGTAGGGAGACCCAGGACCTCTGGCTCCAAAAGGTGAGTTCCATTTTTACATTTCCAGGAGTTTGAGGAAAATAGAAAATGAGAAAGTGGGTTTTTTCCCTAAATCACTATACAGCAGCATGTAGGTTGCCATCAAATATATTTGCTAGGATCTTAGTCTCAAGCAACTTCTACTTGTAGCCAGAAGATCTCAGATTGGACTGCCAGTTTTTCTGGTTAAAGGATCCAGAGATTGAAATTCCCAGCTGGAAAACAGAAAAACTAAAACTAGAAATATGACTCTGACTAAGAAGTCACCTTCTGTTCCTATATCGTAGAACATAGATTAGTTTAGTTTAGTTTATTAATTAGCCCTTTGGCCATATCAAAGTGCAGACACAAATTATTACTAAAATCTGATAAAAAAAAACAGTCTAAAATGGAATTGGAATGAAATACAGTTTAAAATGAACTTGGAGTAAAATACGATTTAAAATGAAATTGGAATGAAGTACAGTTTAAAATGAAATTGGAATAAATTACAGTTTAAAATGAAAGTGGAATAAAATACGATTTAAAATGAAATTGGAATGAAATACAGTTTAAAATGAAATTGGAATAAAATATGATTTAAAATTAAATTGGAATGAAATACAGTTTAAAATGTAATTGGAATAAAATATGATTTAAAATTAAATTGGAATGAAATTCAATAATTTAATATATAAGTAAAATAAGATTGTATTTGGATATCACCCCTACAATCTGTCCCAATCAGTCCCACATGTCCTGATTCATGGAACATAGAATAACATGGTAGTTAATTAAGAAATTAAGATGGCACTGATCTAATTATATGCATGTGATGTTTTTAATCCCAGGGGGGAAATCTCAGAAAAAGAAGACACAACCAAAGTCTAAACCAGCCGTGCAGAGTTCAAAGGTAGAAGGATGATCTCTTCCTCTGTTTTGGGATATTATTTACCCGAGACCCAAAGGTGCTTTTTTTTTCAAGAGGCAATTGGACTTCCTTGTGTTTTCTTTGAAGAGGTTTCGCTTCTCATCCAAGAAGCTTCTTCAGTTCTTGAGAAGAAGCTTCATGGATGAGAAGTAAAATGTTTTCAAAGGGAAAAAAAAAACGAGAAGAGATTGGACAACCGTTTTTCTGAAATGGTATAGGATTTTCTGCTTGAAGCAGGGATTGGATTAGAAAACCTCCGAGATCCTTTCCAACGCTGTTATTCTGTTATTTTTTTCTGTTAATTTAATCAGTCTTTAATGAAACCTCCTGAACTAAGTGAATCTGGCTTCCTCGTTATGTTGGCTGGGCAGAAGTTTGCAAAAAGGGGACACCCAGGGACTCTGCAACTGTCATAAATATGAACCAGTTGCCAAGTACCCGAATTTTGACCCTGCATGTCAACTCATGCAACATTCCTCTGTTTTCAAGTTGCCATAAACAAGTGGGGGAAGGGGGAATGGAGAATCTGAAGGCACATTACAGCAGTTTAAAACCAGAAGTACATTCCATCCTTATCTACAAAGATTGTAGCTAGCTCTTCAGCCCGAAAATCCTTCATTGGAGAATGTGATTGATGACACCCAGACCCTGAACATGCTTCCTTGGAGATTCTGATTTATGATACACCCTGGTGGGAAGGGGGAAAACAGGGTCACAGGTGACTGTAAATTACTTATGCCACAGTTGGCTTCAGTTAGGTTAATGCCAGCATGTTGCTCCTAATAAATCTTTTGAATTTTTTTTTGAAGCTTGGCTCGAGGGTCATGATTTAATTAGGGCAATCGCCGGAACCCTGACAGCGCGACCATGGGGAAGCTGTAATAGTCCTATCCAGGGGTGGGATTCTACCTGTTCAGACCAGTTCTATAGAACCGGTTGTTACCATCTTGCACAGTTCGGAGAACCGGCAAATCGTGCCACTGACTCAGGCAGCAGATTGCAGAAAGGTAGATCTGCGAGTGACTCTGTGATTCTGCAAGCAACTCAATCTGCCTGCTTGCTTTGCCTGATTTTGGGTAAAAGTTGCTTTTTAAAAAAAAAATCAATATTTACATAAATATTTATATTTACATCTAAGCCACGCCCACTGTCACATGATCATCAAGCCACACCCACAAATTGGGCCACGCTCACAGAACCGGTTATTAAGAAATTTGAATCCCACCCCTGGTCCTATCCCTTTTTGGGTGCCGTTGTAACTTTAAACGGTCACTAAACAAGCTGTTGGAAGTCGAGGACTGCCTATACTACGTTGGAGTTTCATTTTTGATGTCATTATGGTAATCCGACACCTCAGAGAATATGAATTTGGGGACAGTGAATCTCTGGCTGTTGTAACTGAGCCGTATTCAGTTACCTGCAGGTTCCCCTCTTCTGCCCCCGATCAATTCTTGATCCACCTGAGATCCAATGAGAACCCATCTCATTCAAGTGGCAGATTGGCTTTCCCTGAGATCTCATTGATCCAGTGAGAATCCATCTCATTCAAGTGGCAGATTGGCTTTCCCCGAGATCTCACTGATCCAATGAGAACCCATCTCATTCAAGTGGCAGAT